CGTGGAGCGCATGCAATACAAAGCATTCGATTTAATTGACAATAGTCAAACTACATAACGTAGACCTAAAATTTCTACAGCGAAAGTAGAACTTTGAAATCGATTTTAAGCGGTCGTTATTCATATACCCACATACATACATTCATATATTACTTTTCATATCAATTCAAGTGTATTACATGCGCCCCACGCTTTTCATTTTCAATTTCATAGATTGTTTATAATGACTTTTGCTAAAATTTCAAAATCAAAAGTTATCAAAACAAATTCTATGGGACTGAGAAGTATTATTTTCTACTTTTTAGTCCATTTATAAAAGCGTTGTATATTAAAAAGTTTTTTTTTATATTATTTATTTTCTACTTTTTAGTCCTGTCTGAATAAAATTTTGCAATAGATATTAAAATAATTCAACGATATTAATAGAAAGGTGCACACACATGCATTTACATATGTATGTACATACAAACGAGCACCAATTAATTTTATTTAAAGAAATGGCGTGTCGTCTATTTCCGCCGATATGCGTGTATAAACCCTCCTCAAAGTCTAGCCAAAAAGCCAGCAACTCACACAACAGGTTCCCCAGAGCAATTCGCTCGAGAAAGTGGTACCCGGTACACGTAATATGCCGCACACAGCACAACAATCCGCCAAAACAGGCAACCCGGCCCAAAATTACCACCGTAGAAGGCAGAAACCCCGAGCGGCAGTGCAGGAGCCCAAGAATTACCCTTAAAACGGCCACAGGAGCTTAAAAAGACCAACTGGTCCCCAACTGGGCGGAATGTATATAGGTTCGGACTAGTCCCAAACTGGTTCCCAACTGGTCCCCGACTGGTTACCAACTGGCCCCACGAACTAGTTACCAACTGGTCCCAAAGTGTTTACCAACTGGTCCACCTATACCTCAAGTGGTCCACAAGTCACTTCACTTACAAAGCATTCGATTTAGTTGACAATAGTCAAACTAATTTTATTTAAAGAAACGGCGTGTCGTCTATTTTCGGTGTAGCAAACGTAGTACATAGAGCGACACTAGATGTCATCTACCTCGCCCTATTCACTATGCTTTTTTATAGGAGCTTTTCAAAGCTTTGCTTTGGTGTCGGAACACAACATTGAAAGTTTCTGGATCCACAACATTGAAAGCTTCTGGAACACAACATTGCAAGTTGATAAAAGCGTTGTAAAATTAATAAGATGAAATGAAATTATTGTTTGATTTCTAACCAAACCTACGTATATAACTCAATCGTCTAATGGTTTGCCGAACCGTAAACACATGTTTACACATCCAATTTCGTGAGGTACCTGGTACTCACACCTTTTTTAAGAAGTTTCACTTCTATCATGTGTACGGTGTTACACACGTATTTTTATTCTATTTTATTTATTTTCTATTTGTTAGTCTTGTCTGTATACAAATTTGCAATAGATATTAAAATAATTCAACGATTAATTTCATTTAAAGAAATGACGTGTCGCCCATTTCCGCTGTAGCGTACGTAGTGCTTAGGGCGACACTACCTCTCAACTGACGAGGTAGACTTTTTATAGGAACTTTGCAAACAAAGGTTTTATAGCTAAAAATTCTGTCTGGACACACAATATTGCAAGTTGATAAAAGCGTTGTAATAAGCTAGAGTGCGCTTGGTATGTATGGACTGTATTGTCCGA